CCTGACCCTGACCCTGACCCTGACCCTAACCCTAACCCTAGCCCTAACCCTAAACCCTGACCCTAGCCCTAACCCTAAAACCTGACCCTGACCCTAGCTCTGACCCTAATCCTCAGCATACCCTCAATTCTACCCCGACCCCAATCCCAACCCCAACCCCAAACATACAACCTCCCTACTGAGTCACTGTGCCAGATTATTTTTGGTTTTGTTATTTTCAAGATAGTGTCTTGAAAACCTTCTTGGGACTTGCCTGGAACTGACATCTTTGTTATTTTGTCTCCTGAGTTGCTGATTTATTCATTCTGATGCTCCCTCCTTAACCAGTTTTCAGATACTACCCTTCCTGTAGTATCTCAAGTTCAGACCCTTCAATGCATTTGGTTCACCACTTCATTTTTTCGTGTTTCATGTGTTGGAAATAGATTTCATCTTCAACTCCAGCATATGGCTTCCTTATGGCACACACTTAAATATTTATATAAGAATTGTATGAATCAAATAAAATAGTATTTTCTGTATCTCATACAGTTGTCATCCTTTAACATTCTCAAAATAGGATGGAATTGCATCAAAAACATCAAACATACTCTTCAAGATACTTTTCAATTTTCCTATTCCAATTCACATTTATTGATTAGAAACGACGACTGGCCTTCCCTCCATCTACTATGAATGTTAAGGAACTGAGAAATACAACTATGCAGTGAAGGAAAACACATTAATAAGGAAGGATTCATTTTAAGATTTTTTAAAAGGCTGTTATCAAGAACTTAAACCCCACATAAGATACAGAAGTGATGCTGAGAATAAAAGGTCTTAACTACCTTTATTAAGTCATTTGTTTTATCCATGTGTGTCACCTCATTAAAATCAGTTTCATATTTCTTGGATTTTTCTCTTTAAGTTCAACTTGCAAAAGTAGTTTTATGTACACATTTGATTCTTACACTACATACTTAATATTTATAAATTTCAAAATTTTGCACAGATCTATGGCTTTACTACTCTTCAAGACAAGAGTCACATGTTAAAGTATAGAATACTCAAAATATAAACAACTGACAAGAACGTGGTTTACAATATAGATCTTGCGGACAATGCAGACTGTATTATGATTGATCTGTTAAAAAAAAGTAGTGTATTATACTGATTTCTGGTTGCAAGGTGCTTTACAGGAAAACTTATTTACAATTTCCTTTCTTTTTATAAGATAAACACCAACCTATTTCTCATATATATTACAACTTAAACTCTGTTTTGAAAATCACAAACTGATAACATGTAAATAAAAAATGTTAGGAAAAAATTAACATATAAAGGGAAGACATGTTTTAAGCATTATGATTTTTTAATCCAATATAAAGGCAAATGTGGTTTCTAATAAAATGTAGTCCACATTCAATTATTGGGAAAAATTTAGTCAATCCACCTTATACAACAGATTTCAGATGTCATTCACTTAATATTATTTCCAAAAATTTCCATGTAATAGAAAATTCTACACAGCAATTAGAATAATGTCAACAAGGATCTGCAAACTACAAAAATATTATCAAATGAACTTAAATCATGCATTTCTCTCCTAAAAAAAAGTTTAAAAGGCAGATAAAAACAAGAATGAACTTTCTTTAAATAGCTTATATTTACCAATCTACAGCAAAATATGTTTTTCCAGCTATGCATGCAGACTGTATTGTAAAAATGATCTGCTAACTAAAAAAGCAGAAAACATCTAAAATAGCCACTTAGACTAGGTAAACCACAAAACATCAAACCCCTCCCAGTAAGTCACAAGAGGCTGGAGATTAAAGCGAATCATAAAATCCAGTACTTAATCCTACATAACACTCGAGCTTGGAATAATTACTAACAATCTGCATTATTCTTTTCTTTGGGTAAAAAAAATCTTTAAAAAAAAAAACAACCAATGTTTTGGATCACCAATGTAACTTCTAATCATTCTGCCATCTGACTACTAGAAACATTGTTTTTTTTCTTTTTTTTCCTGGGCCCACAACTTGATAGAAAGCTCTTGATACAAAAAGGCCTGGAGAAGATGGATTATTCACAAGCCACTGAATTAAATTGTTCTAATGCAATGGAACTACTAAAATACATATATTTGTTCTTAAGAAAATTTACAAAACTAACAAATCTTTTTCTCCAGAATTATAAAAGATAAAATCTATGAATCAGTACTCTAATGTGATCACAGAAAGAGAACAAACGGAAGTCAAAAAGAATAGGCTCTCTATACCATTCCCTAATGTATGTCCCGCAATCTTTCCACCTGTTCTGAGAACTCACAGTCAGCACCTTAGAAATTTGTTATGGTCTTTAAACCTGTAATAATCATCCCTATGTTTAGGGTAAAGGTAATTTACCTTCTAACTTACATGTATTTTTTAAACTTGTTTTATTTTCAGGATATTCTTTAAGAGATTACTTGACAGTGGTTCTTTTAAAGATATAACAAAATATGCCAGGGGAAAAAAAATTTGCTTGCAAGTCTTTTGAAATTCCTGAAAGACACCTGGCAGTTTGATACTTTTACTCGTCTCCAATCACATTTTTCCTTTTTAAAAATTAGAGCTGACAATTCATATAAGTTTCAATTTGTTTGGTTAAAATAAGAGAGGGCTTTTCAATAGAAAACTAAAAAGTTCAGAAGAATTCGGTGCCAGTAATTATGAGACTGAAACCATAAAATTCAGACTCACAGTGAATATCACACCAAGGACAGCGGCATATCACACCAAGAAAAGATATTCCTCATTGTCAGGCTCGTGCTTTGCCTCACGTAGGCGGTTCGGATTCAGTGCATGGGTGATGTGTAAGGTGCCCCAGGCATCAGGGACAGATGACAAACAGGCTCCAGCTCGCAGCAGAGCGTCAGTAAAGCTTCAGGAAAACACTCCTCTATGCAGTGTGCGTCTCGTTGGACTATGTTTAAACACATCACACCGTTGAACTGAAGTTTTAGAGGAAAATCACGAACCACAGAAGGAAAACCACAAGGTGGAGGAGGCCGGTGGCTCCCTTCCAAGGCACCAGCTTCAAACTGGCAGTGGACAGGTGGCAGATCGGACTCCTTCCCCACTTCCCCTTTCAAACGGGAAATTTACTTTTCTCTGTAGTAAAGCAGGTAGTACTTGAGGGGATCTGGCAGTGGGAGGCTCAGGACCCGCTGGCGGAGGAAGTTCACTGGCGGATCAGGCTTGGTGGCTTCCCGCGTGGTCCTCTCCGCAGCCTCCCGCCGCTCCTCTTCCAAGTCCTCACAGCTAGTGTCGTCGGAGGGGTTGGAAATACGACTAGCGAAGACCTCCTTGTCCAGAAACACGATCGTTTCCATTCGCCGGCGGCGGACTCGCCTTCGCTTGAACCTGGGCGTGCTCTTCAGTCCATTGGCGCCCTTGCTGGCCGCTTCCTGGCGAATGGCCTTCTTGATGGTGCTGCGGATGGCGATGCGGGCCAAGTCCTGCAGGCTGCGCACGGCGGGAGGCGCTGCAAGGAGGAGCGGCAGGGAGGAGCGGCAGAGCCGTGAGAAACGGCCAGAGCCCTAGGCCGCTAATTCGCGGCAACAGTCACAGAACCTGAGATGAGACTATGCTAAGCAAACGTCAATTAGAGCTCTAATTTGCATTCGTATGGTATGTTCCGAAAGATATTTCTAGATACACTACTTCATAGCTCTGAAAAGGAAAGAATGCAGTACTACTTGGCCAGTTCGTGGCAAAATTAAAACCATGCGGTTTGTTTTTGATGGCTCAGTCACTGTTTACTGTGTTCACTCATGCATTAATGCCCATCCAATAGTAACATGTGCCTCCAATATTCTTTCATCTATTTTAATGTTGTCATAGTGGTTTTTAAATTGGAATAGGCAAATCTAAATATTAAGAAAAACAAAAACTACAAAGCACACCAAGGAAAAAGAACATTTGGAAAGTAAGGTTCACAATCTACTGCAGGCAATACACACATAGTAATAAATAAGGATTTTCTCAAAGGGAAAGGAATGAGTGGTCACTTGTTTAGATACATTAAACAGAAAATCCATACCACTTTTCCCCTCCAGTACCCAACTTCTCCAAATAGCAATCCACACTATAGGCGAGTTGTGCCAGCTAAGACATTTATTACCAAAATCAAAGAGCCTGCACAGAACCCAACAATCTCCATTGTCCTCAAGGAACACAGGCCTGTATCCCACGCACAGAACAAGTAGCATCTTCTGCCCCTTTTATCAACATCAACCTTCCTCTCCTACTTCTCTTTCCAGAGGATAAAAGACCCTCTCTTCTCTTCCTCTCTTCTCCAGGATTTCTCTCACAGTGCCTCCACCTGCACTCTCACCACTCCACTAGGCACCTAGGCCATGTCTCCACCCATCAACAGCCTGCTATCTGTCCTGTCCTCGCCAACTCCAAGATTCATTCCAGAAGGCTCTGGATGCTATCTAGTTGTCCCCTCAAGAAGCTGAAACAATCCCTCACAGTCCATCAGGCTTCTCCGTGTCAGCTCTGCCACCTCCAGCTTTGAGGGCCAGTTGGGCACAGCTGACTCAGATTACTGTCCTTAGGAGCCCTCCTTCTGGCTCCTCCTCTTCCATCAGGATTCATGATGTCTCCAAGGCTCCAGTGTCCACCATGCTCCTCTCTCAGGATGCCACTCTGTGGCTTTATGTAGGAGGGACCAGTTCCCCGTGTTCTACCCAGTACTGACTAGATCCTGAGCTTCTCCCACAGCATGGCTACAAAAAGACAATGGATCCCTCAAGTTCTCATGTCCATCCTCAGAAAAGCCACATGTCCCTGAACCCTTTCCACCAGAGTCCAGTGTTGTCTCAACCTTTGTCCCTCACCTAGAAAATTCTACTTCCTGACTGGTTGCTGCCTCTGCTCTGCCTCATATCTAACTTGAGAGGTGACCCATGCAATGCATGTCTGAGCCACACAGCCTCACTATGCATGGTCTTTACTCATGTGGCCTCTCTATTCTACTGTGTTCATCAACTGGCCTAGGAAAATAAAAGTGCAGATGAAAAGGACTGTTCATCTCAGGAACCCTTACTAGCACATATGAGTATTTATCACCCAACATTAGCTTTGAAGACCTCACCCCAAAATGAGCATCTCAGGGTGGACAATACAATACTGCTACAGCTCCAGAGCTGGTACAGCTATTGTTTAAAGAGCTTTCTCTGCAGAGATTTTCAGAATATGCATCTGAAGGATTTTCACCCTCCCACTGACCAGCAAGGTTATACAGGATACAGATGTACTGCATCTTCATTTAAAACATCTCAGTTCTCCACAGAACATGTGGTAAATCCAAATCTGGCCTATATACCCATCTAGCTTCTCCCACACACCCTGACTCAGACCACACTGGGGACTGGGCACCCTTAATTTTGCTTTGCCTCTGCTAACACTCCCCACTCTTCTCTCACTAGGGAATTCCTTTTCATATTGAAGAACAAAACACAAATATCATCCTCCATGATAAGGTTTGTTTAAATCTTCTCTGGTCCTTCCAACCCCTTTGAACATTCCACTGTTGCTTGTTAACAAATTTTAAGACCTTTTCTATATCATAAGATTTATACTGAGTAAAGCATGACCATTCAATAAGTGATTCCTCACAAACTGAAAAACATGTCTTGAAGGAATTCACAAAAATATATCACCTTTCAAAATTATCTTTGTATATTCCAAAATTATTTAATGATCAGAGAGAATGCTAAATACTTTTATTTTAAATCAACTCAAATTCCCACTTCTGTGTAAATGTTTAACTTATAAAACATTACGACAAATGCTTCCCTGGCTCAAGTTATTTGCTGGGTCTGCACCCTGAAGATGTAAACCAAAGGCTCAGAGTGTGAGGCTCCACAACCTCCCATGCATGCACAGCAGATACATGGAACATGCTCTCTACCCTCTGTCTGCCCATGTGGCAGCAGAAGCCAGGTACTCTGGGAACCATATGCTCTGTGACTCAGGTGCCATTACTCTCACAACAGACAGGGCAAACTGTGAGTTTCCCACATGGTAGGACTAGTACTCTTTTTGTACAATCCACTGCTCTCAAAGGCAAGATCAGCAATAGCACTTTGTAGATTTAAAAGAAGGCTAAAATAACCTAAGATGTGCTTAAAAAGAGATTATTTTAAAAGGCCTAAAATCCTTTGTATAGTTTTAAGGTTTCAGTGGGGAGCAAATACTCTTTAATATCAAAAGTTTTCTTATGAATTTTGTTTCCTTTCTAATTCTAATGAAATTAAAATATCTGACAGAAAAGTAGGGTGCATATACTCACGTAGCTGGACAAGTCTGGACTTTCCCGACTCTGAGTGGC